GCAGGCCAGATACAGTCCGAATGAGGGTGCATTGTATTCGTGTTGGTTGTAATCGTCCTCTTCCTCGGACCAATTTCCTGACAACTCCTCTCTCTCTCTCCCTCTCTCTCCCTCTCTCTCTCTGGCTCTGCACCCCTAATCGCCCGGACGCACCAGACCGTTGGTCCGACCAAGTGCAAAGCTTGGTTCGATGAGATGACGACTTCGAATGCATCGCAACATAACTACAGACAAGCAACATCATGGGGAATACGACGATTATTTAAGCGTCCATTAGCAACACACAAAATATGAAAACGAAATCAGCACGATCTGGAGAGGCACGACGGTCTCAAGCAACACCATGCAAACCTTCCGTATAATTGGGAATGAATCTCTGCTAGAACATGGGAGAATACATCACCATACTCTCGTTTATTTTCGCCTGCGTGCAGCAGCGCCCGTCCGCCTACCCTTGTTCGACGAAGGTAAGTCCTCTCTCTTCTCTCTCTTACCTACTCCCTCGTTTGCGCGCGCGCTTAATGCACCACTCACCAAGTGTGCAAGTAGCGAGAGAATCTTACGCTAAATCATGGGCTGATTCACCGTGACCACCATGACGAGCATCATGACAGTCCCGACCCAGCACGATGGTTCCAAGGAGCAGTATGACGAGCACCGGCTGGGTCGAGGTGGCGATCAACAGTGGGGCGAGGATCACGACTAGCTCCTACAGATGATAGGCAAGACACTCGTTGACATCCACTACAACACGAACTACAAAATGAAGAGAAAGAAATTGGAGCAATTATAGCATTACAAGGATCTCCACGGAGGTGCGCTCCCTATGGATGCGGGTCGTGTGGCAGGAGGGGAGGGCGAGTCGGACGCATGTGCATGGGAGGGTAAGGTGTGGATGATGAAATCGATGTCAATAGGGACGCGACACAGGAGGGGGTGCACGTGCCCTATACGCTGCGGCTTTAAAAGACCCTAGTGGGTAAGACTTTATGGAAGAGGAAGGAGAGAGAGGGAGAGGGGAATACGGGGGCGTGGTATAAGATGAGACAACTTGCGGGGTCGAGCACAACACAAAAGCGCCGAACACGAAATTCCGTAAAGGAAACCTCCTTCATGATATTGAACGACGTATCCTTCAACACTTCAATAGCGTGAAGGAAGCTTCCTTCACGGTATTTCTTGTTCGACACTTGTGTGCCATGCGCGACCCTGAAACTCACAAAGGGTCACGCGATCGTGGGTAACACGTGAAGCGTTGGTATTACAATCGATCGCGTGTGTACTCATGATTGAACGATTGTGATTTCCTTCGTGCGCGCGCTCCTCTTATGCATTTTCACGCGGGTCACACCCTAATGCTCGTGCACACTTCGAGTTATGGGTTGTAAGGTTTGCAAAAAGGGACTAGGCATATGTGTGTATTTTGAGTTAGTGAGATTATCGATTATGCGACGCGTGGTTAAGTTTAGGTGTCCTAGTCTACCGACGTAGGGCCTCGCGTGGGAGAGCATCGCCCCACGCGGCAACTCGCGTACGGGCTTGATCTGGGCGTCGACCGCACGTAGCCCCAATGCTACAGTGTACGAGAAACGCCCTCGGTTGGTCCTCCTCCGCTATTGCATGTAAAAACTTTCGTATTGTTGACTGGTAGCTAGTTCGGGATACGCTCACCCGAGTGGAGGTAAGTTATACATTGCGAGGCCCTATCCTGTCGTAGGGACTTGATAGAGGTATAGTTGGCGCACTCGGTCGAAGCGGCTCCGATGCTTCCTTTTCATGTGGTGCGACTCGCGAATCTGTCATTCTGCGTGACGAGGCCGAGAAGGTTTCCTCTCCGGGGACCATGCGCTCGACACCGTAGCAACTTATATCCCTACCTAGTTCTGGTTCAAGCGGAATCGAACGAGCCTTGTCGTGCAGAAATTTCATATGCAAGGGTAGGAATATAAGTCGCTACGACTCGTGCATATTTGGACCACCAATGTGCGGCATCAATGGTCTCAACGTCGTCGACGCACTTCCGTGCGTCTCGATCCCCGTCCACGCCACCCCAAGCAATTGTGTCGCTGCGCACATGAAAACTGACCTTTTGGGCTTCTAAGGCCTTTTGCAATCTTTCCCCTTCTGCCTGCAGTCTTTTCTTTTCATCAATTTCTTGTCTTCTAGTTGCCAGCAATTTACTGTGCAACTCAGCCCTTTTTTCTTCCATCATCAGGTTTCGCTCAACGGTATCTGTCACCGTGGCCAGCTTGGCAAGGAACACATCACGTTCTTCTTCCGACTCTTTCAGTAATTCGCTGGAGTAGTAGTATTGATTAGCCCAATTCAAGGGCTCAATGGGAAGTTTCTGTGCTGTACAACTCTCCGGAATGCCGATGGGATGACGTCTTTGCAATGTTTGTTCTTCCTCCTGTTTTGTCTCTTCTTCTTCTTCTATGCTCTTCAATTCCTCTTCCAGTTCTTTCTCCATCTTCTCTTTCATTTTCTTTCTTGCTTCTTCTTCTTTCTGCTTTTTCTTGGCTTCTCTCTCCTTTTTCTTCTCAGCCAACTTACGATCTATCTCTGCCTGCTCCGCAGGTGTAGGGCCAGGCGTCACTGTTCCAGACCGCATCAGCATGCGGGACGTGCACACACGCCCGAACCCCAGTGGGAACATAAGCCGGAACAGCGGCCCCAACAAGACAGAAAGGGCCAACAGGCCCTGAATGGGATAGTCATCCATGATGACTACCGACACAGGAAACCCTCCGCCGGGTCACCAAGGTACTATCCCACTTACGGACTTGGTCTTGCCTTGCGGTAATGGAGTAGTTATACTTTCGTTTTTCTCTTTCTTTTTAACGGTGGAAGGTGCTGCGTACAATCAACAATAGACCAACTAGAATGAACTTGAATATGTCCCTTTTTTTTTTTTTTTTTTTTTTTTTTGATGCACTGTCTGGCCTCCTGGATCGAACTTTTGGTAATGTGTTTCTGTTGTCTTGCTTCCTCTCTTGATATAGACTTTTTTTTTTTTCTAACTTTTACTAACTTGCTGGGTGTCTGATGCAGGTATGGAGTACAGCGCAGATTCGGATGGTTCACTTGTCCAACCAGGCAGGAATACTTCGTTCCAATGTTTCTTTCTGTTGGGCTCAACAGGCCCTATAGATACTCAGTACAACGCAGATTCGGATGGTTCACTTGTCCAACCAGGCAGGAATACTTCGTTCCAATGTTTCTTTCTGTTGGGCTCAACAGGCCCTATAGATACTCAATATCATCCTTATACTGCCTGGTACATGCTATCTGACGTGGCACATAGCCACTTCCCACATCGACTCTTGGTTCTTGATAACGCTACCCAGCCTGCCTATCAAGAGGGATATGAGAGAAACCTACTCCTATTCGCAGAACACAGGGCCACCTACTCTAGTGTGACCAGTTCCTGGCACATCACACTTGGGTCATCAGACTCTGACGGCTCAGACCTGACAGCTAGGACAACCCAGATCCAGACTTCGACTCCTGACCAGATCAACAGCAGTCACCTTCAGAGGGTCAGAGAGAGAGAAGGTAGGGGACACACACATGCATGCAGGTTCAAGGAAAGGAGGTGCTTCTCTCTTCTTGAAGATGCCGCCGATGATGCTCCATGACGCTCCGCACGCTCCAGGTAAGTAGACTTTGCCACTTCTTCTTCGGCCTGCTTCCCCCACTATCAAACCCTTCTTCTCTTCCTCCCTCCTTCGCTATTCCTCCATCACCACTTCTTCTCGCCGACCTTGATCAGACCAGCGCTATGAGAGTAGCGAGCATCTGCTTCGGTACCAAAATTGCATGGGTCCTGGGGACCATCTCACACAGATGTGTACATGTCATGCATCATCTTCACACACAGTGATCAATAGTCTCAACCATAGACAAAGGTAGAGAAGAAGAGGACGGAGTCTCACAGCTTATATTATCAGAAATATGATTACAAAGTGTTTCAAAGTTCCCCTGAGTCCAGCGCTCATCAGCGCAACACAAATCTCTGCTCAACTCAGCAATATGCCTTCCAAGGCATCAGCGCTACCCCTGCAGATTGTCTCCCAGTCATCAATATGGTCACAACTCATCAGCGCCAACTCTGCAGTTCACAACCAACTCAGGTAAGTGTCTCCCATAGCCAAACCTTGAATGAACACTCTTCGTCTCAGTCTCTTCCTCCTAGGATGCATGCACACACTGTTCTCACAAGGATCTACTCTGAATACTACTCATAGCTAAGTACTAACCCTTCTACTCTACTTACTAACTCGCTGGGCAGCTATGGCTGCGTCCCTTCCAGCGCACAGTCTTCTTCTTCCCTCTTAGCGCATCTTCCCTCCTCCAGCGCTACTCCTACTGACTAACGCACAAGCGCACCAGCACTTCCACGCATTCAAGCCAGTGGAGATCTGGCAAGGAATGAGGCTGGCAGCTTTCTTTATAGTGCTGGCCACTCCTCGCTGGGTCTGCATTGGCTCAATTCAGCCTGTCCTTTGTCCCAGACCCTGCATTGCATGTGTCCCAGTAGAGTCCCAGTGAAGTTCAACTGCTGCTGAGGCCTCTCGGCCTGTATTTGGACTTGAAAGTCTGGATCTGGACTGACCCCTTGACTTAGACCAGAACTGGGACTGTGCCTATTGACTTGACTTTCGGGCAGGCACAACTCTCAACGAACAGACACATTTACTGCTTGAACAGACACTTTCCTTTGCACGAACAGGTACACTGCCTGCACGTGCAGACACACTCTTACCCAAACAGACATGACATACACATCTCCTGGTGAACAGGTAAGTCTTTTGACAATGCCCTTTGCTTTAGATATAGATGTGCCTGATGATAGAGAACTTGACCTTCGACCTGCTTTCACGTTTCTGAGCCCTGGCGAGACACCTTTTCACAATGCTTTACTTTTACAAGGCCCGAGCTACTTTATTTTTACAAGGCCTGAGGCCTATATCGGGTAAAGGCCCTTTTAGTAGGAGCGAGTATTTCCAGAAACTGCTCTATGGAAATATGAAGGAGCGTTCGATGGAGAGAATCCCTCTTTCCAACTGTGAATGCAGACAGTCTGAAAGTGCTGATCGGTTACATGCATGGGGTCCCTTTTTCCTGGAACGATGAAAGTTCCCCGGAAAGTTTGGTCGACGTTTACCTCTTGGCGGAGCAGTATCAGGTGTGTAGTTTGTGCGAAAGGGTCGTACTCTTTGTGTCCACCCTGCCCTGTGAGCCAAAACTGAAATTTCTGCTCAACGCGGCAGTGGAAAGGCGAGCAGAAGGATTGTCCCATGCTGCAGCAATGGTAATGGTCAACTCCATCTGCTCTGATAATGAAGACTTCAAGTTTGAGGGGTTGAGAAAGGAGACAATTGTGTATGTCCTGACGAGCGTGGAGCTTCCACCACATATCACAGAGACTGAAATTGCAGATGCACTGCTTTGTCCACTACCCAATGACCTCGACCTCAGTTGCGTCCAACACAAGAACGCTAAGACTTCCCCCCCGCCTGCGGCAGTAGTTATCGATTCCAGTGCTGAGGAGGGAAATCAGGAGGGAGGAGGTTGCTTATCGAGGGAGGATGTGCAGGAGATCTTCGAAAATCATATCGACCTTCCTTTTATCAAAACCTGGCTTGTGGAGCAGAAGATCGAGCCCTTGCAAATCTTGAGGCCAGAGGTACTGGCTGCATTGCGCAGAGTGCAGGCCGTCTGCCTTTCAAGAGGTATGACACCCGGATCATTGTTTGTGATGCCATGGCGTTCCATGGTTCCCAAAGTTTCCGTTGCACCAGCTAAAACAGCAGAAAATGAGATTTCTGCTGCTTACGGAATCGTCGATTTCCCGGGACTATGGTCCTTTTATCCAGAATCCAGTTTCGAGGGTGGAGTACTGACGCCTCAAGGAGACTCAGTGCGGTGTCCTCTTGATTCATATTTGACTGGGTTAGCAGTATTGAAGCTACCTCTCTGCACTGGCAGGCATAGATGGAGAGTCCGCCAGCTGCAGCCATGCAAAATATTTGCTGCTGGAGTCGTTTCTCTTCCGACCAAAGAGTTTTCAGCTACTCCAGAGCGCTCAGCTACTCCAGAGCCCAATGCATATTGGTCACTGCACAGTGATGGCTCCACTGTCGACATGTCTACACGGATTGGGTCATATAAGACGTACGGCGGCGACTCACTCCTTGACGGGTTTGACAAGGAAGGAGGGGCTGTTGTCGTGAATCTCGACATGCATTCTCGGTCGTTGTCTTTCGCCAATGATCTTCAATTTGATTGCAGCAATCGTGACAGAAAAAGAAGTGATCTTCACCTTAATGGCCTCCCTCGTGATGACGCATTGTATCCGGCGATGTGGATGCCAGGGCCAGGTTTTGCCAGGATAGAATGGATTTGGAGTGGTCCATGAAGAGAGCTTATAATTGGATATCAAGCATGCTGCACAACGGAACTTTGAACCCGTGACTCCCATGCGAGAACGCTTTGCACTTCTTGGCTGACTGATGGCTCGCATTGTTTTTTTTTTTTTTTTTTGTCTTTGTATCCATGGGGTCAAAAGACGAAGGCACCGTGATGGTGCTTCAAAATCTATTCTCTATTCTGTGTCCCACGTTTTGTTCTGGCTGTTCTGCCCTCGACTTTGTAATCAAAGTCGGGTTAAAAAACAGCGGACCGGCATGACAGTTTAGTCAGTGCATTTGGCATCAAGGTAGTGTTGTTGCACAGCTGCGCTAGCGTTGTCACACAATGTCATTTTGATTCTGATGCGCTTTGCTAAACATACTGCTAGTCCCTTACTATCATCCAGGACTCACATTTATTAGCCAACCACTGCAGAACTGCAGACTGTCAAAGAGGGCGTTATGGACAAATTTCGGAGCAGACCATGGACACAAATACACTATGAGATATGCATACCGAGAGAGAGAGAGAGAGAGAGAGAGAGAGAGAGAGAGAGAGAGAGAGAGAGAGGAACACTGACACCGAAAATGCCCAGCATGTCCTGAACTCTGCCACAAAGTCGAGCTCCCTTCCCTGCGGACAGGTTCCGCTCCCCCTTTCCCATGCCTGTATAAATATGTGCCCTCATCTTCCACTTATGACCTGCACTGGAAGCCATGTCAGAGACTTCCTCACTCTGTATCTCTGTGTCAGCTGTGGTGCTTCCGCAGTCCACAGCCGAACCAGTCTTTTCCGGTCTGTAGGGGTGGCCACTTACGATAGGCAACGGCTGCTCCTCGACCTTTAAATCTCCTGCAAGCCATACACTGACTAACCTATCGTGCCATTCTTAGACTAGAGTTTTCTGCTCCAAGATTGAGTACTATGAAGAACTCTATGAGGCTCGCTACTCCAGGACCTGCGTAACAGTTCTGTTCCTTGCCACTCCACTTCCCTAATCCACCCCTTCTTCCTCCCCCACCCCTCGCTTCCTACAGAACACCTCCTTCCCTTTCATTCCTCCCTCCCCTGTTGTACTAGTGGTAATGCACACGAATGAGAATCATAAAGATAACAAACAAAATATCAGCTGAAGACCTGAAGGAAAAATGAACAGGAGTGTACCTCCCCCTTAAAGTTTACTCTGTACAGGCCCCGGCCTTGCAGTCCGAAACTCGTCGCCACAAGAAAACAATATGATCACAATGTGCAAGACTTAGTGTGCTGCTGAACCACTAGTACACGGCCCCGGCCTTGCAGTCTGAAACTTGTCGCCACAAGAAAACGAGCGAGGCCAAAACGTCAAACGCTGCGCCCGCCACCGATAAATTAGATCGGCGGTCGCGTTTGCGTTTCGCGCTAAGCCTTTCAGAATTTGAGGTGTCAGGCCCGCGGCCCAGGTGGCCATGTACTGGTGCTTCAAGGCGCACAGGGATGTGGGCAGCTGGCGCTCAACCATAATCAACATGATCAGCCTTGTACGCGAGAGGCACAGTAAAAGAGGAGCTGCAAGAAGAAATAAAAGGGTACGTAACCTCAAAGAAAGTTAAGAAAGGATACAATGGATCTATTGTGCCCCAAGTATAGAGGTAAAAACTGCTTCCTTGTTGGATTGGTTCATCTCAAGTGCGCTTCATTGTCTGCAAGACAGGAAAAAGCTGATGTGATTTTGGATCAGATTCTATTCATCTGCGTGGAACAGGGGCTGTTGTGGTGAAACTTTAAAACACAGAGGCTCTGAGGGGTTTGGACTGACAGTCTGCTAGGATTGCAGGTTTGGTGTGAGTCAAGCCAACAACGTTTCTCAGAGGTATCCCTAACACTCGGTGGGGCGGTGAGTCCTTATCCATCAGTCAAATTCATCACGGGAAAAAAACACTGTTGGAGTTCAACCTCCTGACGACAGTGACGAGTTAATGAGAGTCCGAAGAAACAGTCCATCCGACTCCATCGCCGTCATGCGTTCTATGTGGAGTTGTGTAGAGCAAACATGACAACTCATATCTGATTCATCCATGCTTGCACGACGCACTCCATGTCCCATCATGCCCTAAAGCTAAAGAGTGTTCTGGGCAACGTCGATTGTTGTTTCTCTCTTACATTAGCGTTTTTGTAATGTGTATCCTTTCTTTCAAAATAATTGAGAAGTTTTGCATTAGTTCTGTTTTTGTGTTTACAGTCTGGTCTTAACGATTGGGAACATTGGGATTGGCGTCGTCCACATTCATTTCTTCTCATTGATCTGTTTGGATATCCTTTGCCCACTGCCCAGACATCCAATGCCACATTATTGAGCATGCATGTGAGGACCTCAAAAACCAGACTGAGTCCCTCTTGCTTCTCCCAACTCTGGTCAGCCCTTGCCGCTGCGCCCAACTCCGGTTGAACTTCAGGCTTATGGCTTACATGTTCTATACACCTCTCACTTTTGTTTCATCTTGAAGTCCTCATTTTGCATTCCGCTTGCATCACTTATCCTGTCCTCTCTCTCTTCACACGCAACCAACAATGGCCTATGACAAGTCTGTCCTTTCTGCTGTCTTTTCTGACGTTACTCTTCCGAATCCTCTTTTTTTTTTTTTTTTTTTTTTTTTTTGGCCNTTTTTTTGGCCATGCTAATCTTCTCTGTATCGTTCCAATTTTAACGGATGTCCCAAAGGACCGAATCCTTTTTTTATTATTTCTTTTTTTTTAATCTGTATTTTCCACATTGCGGTTCAGTAGACCGTCGTGTTGTTCCGAATCCTTGGTACTGCTACCCCCCATGCTTGCAAACTCACCAATTTGAATACTCCTACGTGGGTGGAGCCGCAGTCGACCTTCGTTATTATTTTATATACCTATATTTCCCATCCCAGAACAAGGTATGTCCTTCTGCATGACCTCTACTTCTATGATGTAGCACATTATGTCCTCCTCGTAACGCCTCACATTTTGTGCTATCTTATATGAACGACAGAACAAGGTATACTTTTCACTGCCCTACTGCAGTTCCATACGACTCCCCAGCGTTCACCCTCTCTGATTGAAAAACAGGCAAAGCCATATGATCCCTTATTGATGCGGGCAGTGCAGCAGGGACCCTTCCTGTGCTTCCTAAGGCACGGTTGACCTTCAGGCCTGCTGCTATTCGTACTCCACATGCCATTGGTGGTCTTGCGTAGAGTCACCAGTCTCTCCAAGTCTATTATTTTCACTGGGCCAGGTCCTGGTATGGCCCAACCTGAAACAAGTTCGTCGCAAATGCACATATCTCGCAACGGGTCGATGTACACGTTCACAATAAATATGTGCATTCGCGACGGGGCAATGGATCTGTTTGTGATAGGGCGTATAGAATGCCTGCAACACTATCAGGGGGGCTGCTGTGTTTGGTATGCCCCCATGTCTGTGTTTTATCGATGACGACATCCATTTGTCTGGCTGGTTCATCGATGTTGACACGCACCCGCCGGACAAATAATTGTGTCCGGCATGGACCTTAAGTCTGCGGGGTTTTCCATAGATCACCAACCCGACGCTCCCCACCAATATTAGACGGATCCCCTCCCCCGGTGCTAGTGGTGTCTGCTCTTATCAGCACCACTAACACTGATGAGACGAGGGTTTAAAAAAAAAAAAAAAAATCTGATTGTTCGGTTGGTTTATTTATGTACTCACTCTTTTCCTTGTTTAACATGTTTTCAGAGTCTTTTATTCTCGATTGACCACGACACTTCAAAGAAGAATCATGCAGTGCCACTCAAATGTCAAGTTCTGGACCTGTTTCCAATCATAATGCACATTGAACGCTACTCCACGCAGTGTCCTTATCGTCAGGGAGCAAGTAGCAGAACCCCTATCAACCTCCTCTCTACCCAAACACCCCGTCCACTCCTCCGTTACTCAATCCTCGCCCCCAACCCCTCGCTCTCCCAGCTGCTCCTCCTCCTCCTCCTGCTGCTGCTGCGGCTAATCCCCCACCACCCGCCCAGCTCGCTCTTGTTTCCGCCCTTCAACTCTAGTCCCAAGTGTAGCACACCGAACATGTTCGGAGCTTTTCCGAATGTCCGAACATGTTCGGGTGTTCAGCCGAACATATTCAAAAAAAAAAAAAAAAAAAAAAAAAACTTTTTTTTTTGGTTTTTGATTTTTAACTCGAGTTTGGTTACGAATTTGACCAAACCTCCAAGGCAAAAGTTGTTTGTATTATTATTTTATATAACATATATGTTTTTCAGATTTTTTGGAGAACGGTTTTTTTTTTTTTTTTTTTTTTTTTCCCCCTCATGGATATCTTACCAAGTGTCTGTGATTGCTACTCATGTACAGGACTTGCAGCTGGCGCTCAACCACAATCAACGCGGCCAGCCTTGTACGTGAGAGGCATAGCAAGAGGGGACCTGCAAGAACATTGTCAAGTGAAAGGGCCCAAAGGGGTATGATAACCCAAAGATAGCCAAAGTGAACATATTTGACAAAGAGATTTCAACAGATGTACTGTGCAGCTCCATGTAACTCAGGCTTGCTATAGGGGTAAAACTGTTTCATTGTAGGTAGTGGAAGGGCTCAACTGAAATGTGCCTCCTTGTCTGAAATAGGAAAAAAGCTGCTTGCTCATCTGAGTGGATTGAGGGATGTTGTGGTGAACCTGCTCCTACCAGTACAACAAGCACTGCAGGGGGTGTTTAAAATAAAATAAAATAAAATAAAATAATGTCTGTGCTATTGCACAATAATATAAACTGAAAATAGACCCAAAGAATTGCGATTGGCAACGCTAAACCGCCTCATACCCCTTCCAAACCCCTCGGAATTTGTCCGCCTGTGCCCTACACCCCCCCAACCCCCGGACCCCCCAGCCACATATCGTCCATGGAGGAGGGCACAAGACAACCCATGAAACAACAGAAATATACGTCCAGCCTTCAAGTTCCTCCTCCCCTGGTCACATTCTGTCCCACCTCCTCCCTCCCTTCCAATCCTCCTCTGATCAGTTTATTATCTGGTCCATGGTCCATCGGACTGCACGAGACTTCAAAAAAAAAAAAAAAACATCTCCACACCGTCACCGATGACAGATGGTGGTGATCATGATCATGATAACTTTGCTATCGAATCTCCTCGGTCATTGATGCTGACGTTTGCCGTTGATGATAGTAGAATCACAGCTACGCAGAACCCCCAAACATGCATTGCCAAGACGAAGACCTCCACGTGCCTACAATGTGTCCACTGTCCATAGTATGAGCCCCTCCGCCCACCCGCCAGGATAACCACCAAAGCACGGACAACAATTCCTGAGTCTGCAGCAATGCATGCCGCTTGCGGCCATAGCCAAAACAGCGGTACATGCCAGTCAGCAGTTTACCTAACATACCGCCTGGTTCGGTGGGTGCTAGCGCTAACCTTCAGCTCTAGCTACCATGGAACAGATTCTTTTCCTTATCGCTTTATTTTTCTTATTTTTCTTCAGCCCTGCCGTTCCCATGGGTCTGCACGTGCCCATCATGTGCTCCTCTTTCTTCTTATCTTCTTCCTCCCTCTTGCTCCTTCCCCTCCTGTTTCTCTTCTTCATCATCTTCATCGTCTTCATCGTCTTCTTCGTCTTCTTCGTCTTCTTCGTCTTCTTCGTCTTCTTTTCCTTCTGCTACAACCTTTTCTTTCCTCAGGTTGTTGGCCTGGCATCGTCCACATGCTGTACGGTGCATCATATCAGTTTTCCGATGATATGCTTCCATAGCTACCCTCTCGACATGCCCTTTATGTCCTGTTTTGGTTCTTCCCCTTCCTCTTCTTCCTCCGCCGTGCCCTCTAAAGTCCTGTTTCGGTTCTTTCTCTTCCTCCTTCATCTTCCTGTCTCACTTCTTCCTTTACCTCTTCTTCCTCCTCCTCCTCCTCCTCCTCCTCCTCCTCCTCCTCCTCCTTTCCCCGTGCTTCTTCAACTCTTCCTCTTCTTCCTCCGCCATGCCCTCTAAAGTCCTGTTTCGGTTCTTCCTCTTCCTCCTTCATCTTCCTGTCTCACTTCTTCCTTTACCTCTTCCTCCTCCTCCTCCTCCTCCTCCTCCTCCTCCTTTCCCCGTGCTTCTTCAACCCGTCGTTCCTGTCGTTCTGCCATCGTCCATCTGCTGACAGAGCAGTTCATTCATAGGCGAATAACATCAAGCAGAGACACTACCGGTAGTCCCCATTTCGCGATTCCATTGCTAGAGCTCAACAGCTCTACAGCTCAACACTTTTTCTCTGCTCTCGGTCACTGTGATCACAATCCTGATACTACCGCCATCCCAACCTCAAGCAATACATTGCCCACGCCCTCAGCCACTCCCTGACATAATCCATCGCCCAAACTAGTAGCTAGCAAAACTGCAGTGCCCTTGATGACCGTAGCGACACTTTCTACTGCTCGTCTGCCTCCCTGTTGCTCCTCCTCTTTCTGTTTCTCTTCCAGTTTTGCGTAGTCTTCTTCTTTCCCCCCTCGTTCTTCAACACTGTTTATACCTTTTGTCATGTGTTGTGTGTGTGCTGTCCTACACTTCGTATCAGATTTGCTATTATTCACAAGCACAGAACGCTCTGCAGCGGTCTGGACATGCTCTGCAGGCATTTGGACATGCTCTGCAGCCATTTGGACAGGCTCAGTAGCGATGCAAATGTCTTCCGCAGCGGTCTGCCCAAGCTCTGGAGCGATGTGGATGTCTTCCACAGCGGTTTGCCCATGCTCTGTTACAGTAGCGATGTGGATGTCTTCCGCAGCGGTCTGCCCATGCTCTGTGAGTCCACGCCTGTCGATCTCGGCTTGAATGATCTCTAATTTCTGCTTTGCAATGCTTATTCGGCCGCCAACGATGGAACTGCCAATCTTACTCACACCCACAGTCAAGAGGGAAAGTTTATTATAAGTGTCCTCCCTGAAGGTTCTACGATCAATTGCAGCAGCGATTCTTTCTTTCTCTTCCAGGAGCTGCTTCGTAGACATTGTCTTTATGAGGCTTATGTATTTGTCAGCAACAAATCGCAGAGAGGTGTCGTCAAAGTATCCACTTATGACATCCATCTTCCTAAGTCTTCACGAGAACCTATACTCTCCTGAGTTCTCCAAATGAGAAATCGACGATTATATGGGAGTGTAGGAGTAGAGTGTCCTGCAGATCTGAGAGGCTTGTAAGGATCTTTCAGGGCGATGACGAGCTGTCGCACCAAGAACCTGCAACAGTCATTCAGCCATTGATGACAAGGAGGAGCAG